TTACCCCAGTTCCTTAACTGCTATACACAGCAGTTCTCATAAACTATAATGTACCTGGTCTGGGTTTGATAGAACTGGCATGTGAACTTAACCACTGTGATCTGTAAATTATGAATTACAAGTTTGCATCTTATGTGAACCAAATCAACTATGTTATTTTCAAAAGCCATGGTTTAGAACAAGGTATAAATCCTGTGTGTGCTAAAACTTTTTTTTGGAAAAGAAAAACACACACACATAGACATCAGTATTTTAATAAAACATACAGCTCATCATCATAGATTATTTTTGCTCTCATACGAATGAGTATTGGGAAAGAGTATATGCACACACCCAGCTTAGTATCCTCCAGGTTAGTCTTCTGGACTGAGATATGGTAAAGGATCACTGCAATAGCTGCAGGTTACTAATGCCTATTATTCAATTACTTCTGCAGTTGGCTTCTGCAGATGGAACATGGAAGTACTATGTTGTCTTTCTCTTTAGGGTGTAAATGGCTAGGCTTTTCACACCTACTCCTCTAGTGAGATGGATGAATCCAGTTTCCAAATCTCTATTAGAACAGAGCCAAAATCTGCTGCTTATCTTTAATAACTATAATTCCTGTAGAACACAACTGAATCCTGGATTCTTTTTCTTTGTTACATTAGTAGTGTGACAGAATGCTGGAAGGCCAGAAAAACGGTATTAGGGATTGCTTTTGTGTGATTTAACACCAGACAGAATTGAACTGAAATCATATAAACCAGTTACATACCTGGTTTGATACCTGCTTTACACCAGAGAACCTGGTGGGTAAGGAATGTCCGCAAGCATGGGGTCTTCACAGTCTTCACCTTGTGACATATCACATTGTTGAAAAGGGGACTGGAGAAATTAGTAACAATTGTACGCAGGATGCCTGCCATATTGCCCAAATCCAGCAAGCAAGATTACACGTTAGGAAGCTGCGCAGCTGCCCTGCTGTATGCAAAAAAACATTTTCAGTTTTAGCAAATAATGACACTTGAAACTTGAAGAGTACATGTGTTGCTAAAAAGAAGCCCGGTTTAGGGTTACAAAATAGATTTGGACTTTAAAATCTGTTTGACAAGGTCTGTGATCTTTTCTCCATAAATATATAGCATTTAGTAATCCTTTTAGAGACATACTCTGAGAATGTGTACAGAATATTGCAGCAAAAGCACAACAAATATTGTATTTCATCATGACTTTGATGCAATGTCAAAATTTAAGCTAATATATACACAATTATGTAGCTGTAATGTCATCTTATTTCAATAGGAGAGTTGGTAGAGGACATATTCTTCAAGTACAAAGTACATCGTTCAATCCACACCATTTCCAAGGAAAGAATGGTACCAAACCCTTTGAGATTTCCTACTAATTTTCAGTAAGTGAAACCAAGAGGGATTCATGATAATTTAACTATATATATGAAATTGCATTATTTCAGAGATTATGTAATTTAAATATGAAAATTCAGTCCTAAACAGCTGCATCTCAAAAGCAAATGCAACAACTTAAGTTATCGAAAGACTGCTTGTTGGTTTAGCTGCAACAAACAAATATGGACCAAGTATTACAGAATGCCACCTATATCAACTAGTGACATACTTCAAATGGGTATTTTATCTATGTTCGGAATGGGATTAAATGTCATTAACACTCCGAGCTAAGTATATCTGGTTATCAACCCGGATTGCATATAACCCAAAACCTTGAAAATAAAGGTAGCAAGATTAAGCAAATTGCAACCATGAAAATGAAGTCTGACAAACAACAGAAAGAATTTTTAAAAACACAAATTATACATAGATGGTAAGCTATACCCAATTCTAAAGTAAGGTCACACTTACTTTACACTGCAGGCATTTCATAAGATGTACAATAATTACAATAATCTTCATTGCCGGAATGGTTAACACATTTTAAATCTAACCACAGGAACATTCAAAAGATTTCAAAGTGGAATCTAGCATTCCAGGGTACTCACCCCCGTAAGAAGTTCATGCAATACAAAAGCCAGCATAATACTGAATAAAATATTTACTCTTTGGATAATTTATATAACAACTACTGCATATTTAGCAACACACAACATATTCAGCAACACACAACAGGTACCATATCTATTTCCTTACTTATTAAAAATCCTAAATTAAAAAAAAAAACAATTGAGCATTGAAAAAATGCACAATTATTCTAAGCTTTCCAAATAAATGGAATTGTGGACAACATTTGGGTAACATTTTCATTTAAAAAATAAGCTCACTGGAAGCTGGTTCCTATTACGAAGCTACCCGACAACAGTGAGATACAGTAATAGTATTTCAACTAGAAATATATGTATAACCATTTCCAACACCAACATGAACAGTTTCTAAGGAAACTGCTATAAATAGAAAACACTAACACTGAGGAACAGACTCATGCCACGTACTCAGGCATTCAGAACACACATTCTTTCCAGCAAAGAGAAAATTAACATCATTTGTGGTCCTTTATGCTCTCAAGAGTGACAAGTTGGCAGATAAAAGAGATCCCTTAAATCAATAACCCACATTAGTGCCCTGACTAACGAGGCATTACCAAGTCTTCTGGAAATGCAAGCAGCTCAATTCTTCATTCATTAGGAAGCTCCCCGAGTGCCAGCCTGCTAAAGACAAGGCTGTGCATAAACTGCCCCGGGCACAGTTGATTGGACACAGCTCCTGTCAATCTCCCCCTGGAGTCAAGTTCATTCATTGTGAAAGCTGTTTTAGCCTGTGAACTTTTAACTTACTCCATCTGCTGTCACCATCCAATCTCTTTCCAGTAGCCTTACTTTTTAAACACTAGTTCAAAACAGAAGTTTCAGCTGTTTTAAATTTTTAATCCATCCACTGATACACACACACACACACACACACAGATTTCGTCACTTTGGGATTTTGGAGCTATTTGGAATGCACCTGCAGATTTAAATTTAGTTTTCTATTTATGGGCTTAAAAGGCTTAAAACATTCTGTTTCTCTTTACTTCAATAGCTTACTCACAGTTAAGAGTATCATCTAAAGTCCCTCTTCAGGAATCCTTGAGCAATATTTTTTAAAAGTTGATAACTAGATTCGAAAAGGATTTTCTAAAGCTCTATGGCAGCCACTTCCACTATGCTGTACAATCCTGGCACATATGGGGTATCTTTAAAGACATCTTCCAGCCAATTCTGAACATCACAGTCAAGAGACAGGGATGGAGACAGCAATTACTGTAAATTTAAACTGCTAATTCTTGGTCATGAAACTGAGATGTGTATACCTAAAGTACTAAGAATTACTGGCAGAAATAGACCCAATTGCATTTCCCTGGCTTGCATCTCTGATAGCACAGAGACACGCATTTTATTTTCCTGTTTACTGGGGTACAGAACTGTCTGCAATGAGTGAAAGTGTGAATTATCTGCACTAGGTCTGAATACCAGAAGTAGGTTGTAAGACTACCTCCCTTTAATCCAAGTCACACACTTCTACAAAGGCATCCCCCAAAGTATTATGCAGAGAGTATGGTCCGCATAAAACCTTTTAACATCTTCCAAAGACATTTTGAGAGCTGTGCCTCAAGACAGTTTCACAGACAGTATTCATTAAAGCAGGGTTTAAAAAGAGATCGGGCTAATCATGTAATGGCCACCCTCCAGCATTCGTCTCAAAGCGTGTGACTCGCTAGACTCAAAGCTGTTCAAACAATGTGGGAAACACGCAGTTCTAAGTCATTGTTTCAAACCTCTTCCCGCAGCCCTTCTATCTCATTGTGCTAAAAAGCCTCATTAAGTCTTGGCTGATAAAAGTCTGGGACGCAAGCAAGGTCATCGCCACCATTCCCACTGCACGTTTGACCTCCACGTAACAGAAGCACGGTTGTGTTTGACTTTAGTTGCCCTCTGCCAGCGAAAAAAACTAATACAGTACCTTTCTCTTCCCGGGTTTTTCTTTTTTTCTAACACGCAGCATTCACTGATTCAACTGCACGAAGACAGATTCCTGCTATCTTTGGTTTTCTTCTCCCGCTCCCCACCTACCGAAATAACTTTTCTTTGCTTAGAAGGCACGCTGATTTTTGCATTTCTGGCGCCTGCCCGTGCGCATTCCTACTCGTTGCATGCGTCTTGGGGGTGCCAGACCTTTCCAACCCCGCAGCCCAGCTATGAGGCCCGACGCGCCCCAGAGATCCCCACCGATCCCGAGTGGGTTTTTCCAAAGAGCTTAGCAGCCAGGACAAGTTCCGCTTCTTGCACCGTAAAAGGCGCTTTCTCACGAGAAGACCGGTCCCCGCCTCCGGCAGCAGCATCCGCCGACTTCCAGCAAGGAGGGCAGCCTGGGAAGCAGCTGTTTTGCCTCCCTCTGCAACTTCGGGGGGGGGGGGCGGCAGAGTCGCCGCAGGTTTGCGACCCCTCCTTTGGCCAAGCCCGCGTTGCTGTGCGCGTGAGCAACTGGCCCGGCAACGGGACAACTAACCCCTTTGCCTCGCGCCCAATCCCAGCCAGGAGACGGCTGGGCTTTT